CATAGACGCTGTAATCTGGTCACACTCCATTAGACTGTCCCAGGTCTCAATCTGTGTAATCTGGTCATGGTTTGTGGGGTCTGTGTGGTTCCCCCTGAGTGGAATTTGGGATTATGTGTGTAAATCTCCTGTGGTGGGGATCAGAGCTGGATAAACGCCCGTGACTTTCCGTTTTTCGCCATTCTCTCTCCCCTGAACCGTTCAGCCCTGTGTTTACCGGGACAGTAATCTGTTGTCGCACACTGAGCCACAAACACCACAGCCTAACCCTGTCTTGATTCTTCAACACCACATTTCCACCTTAATAGCCCAGGCAAGACTCATAATGTTCCACATGGAGTGATTTTTCATTTTTTCCTGATCCGACCCACTTCTTCCTCCTCGCAGCTGTGTGAGGATTTAGCTGTGTGACAGAGTTCAAGGTGCTGCCATTGTTTCTGCGACATGATAAGCTTGGTCAGACTTTGAGGATTTTACCTTCGATTTAACACGCCCTCTCAGATTCTCTGGATACAGTTTCTGTTCCAGCATATGTGACTCGCTGATTCCTTCCTTCTCCTCACAGCCCTTTCCTGCATCACCATGGCAACTCTAACCTTTGCTGTCCTCATATTTCTTTGCGAGAAAAGGATGCGAAATAAAAAAAAAAAAAAAAGGTCTAACCCTGGATCAATGCATCGTATTTTGAAAGTCCCTATTTTCTACTTAAAGGTATTTAGAAAGTATAAGGTGAGTATATCGTCTCTTTGTTATGCATCTGACTAATGCAGGTGGGCTCTGGACTGACATGGTAGGATGGTATTTGTTGCAAAAACGGCTATGCCCCTTGTTAATGTGAAAGCTAATGCAAAGATGGAGCTGGCAGCAGATTAGAAGAAACAGCATAAACACCTCTCTGCAAAGCTGCTGTGTCATAACTTGTTCTTTAAGCAATGAATAAACATTATTTAACTTTGTCTTTTTTTTCCTCTGTAAAGGACGAAGGACAGTTCAAGAGGAGCTTAGTTGGTTTAAATAAAATTTGGGGTGGTTATTATTATAATGACCTCACATCAGTAATTACTGACAAAGCAACAAAAAAAACAAACTTATTTTTTCCACCACTCAAACTTAATGGTGAGCTATAACCTACATGCTTGGACAGCTCTATCGACCTTGTGTGTGTGTCTGAAAACATGGTAAAATTATTAAATACTTTTCTTCTCCCTCTTTGTGCAGCAGGTACAACAAGGTTTTTATCATGAAGGAAAAGTATCGCTCAAAAACTAAAATGTCAAAAACCTTTTTGCAGACTGAAATAAATCCATGATAACTAGATAAAACAATTAATTATTCTTTAAAAAAATGAAATGAAATTCTGCAGAGATTGCCCTTTGTTTTTGTTGCTGATACACAGAAACACCCTGGAGCAGCTTTGAATATAATCCAGACAATCTATAGACAAATAACAGATGGGTTTAGATCATTAACAAGTTGTCTAACTTATACCTAATAAAACACTGTCATAATCATGACATGACACCTGTAATTAACATGAATAAGGCTTAGGAAAATTGTCAGTAAGTGTCAGGCATTGTCTTCATGATAGCGCCAAAGGCATCATAATCTACGGACTGACACTAATGACAACCTTCATAGGCCTTATTCATGTTAATCACAATTGTCATGTCATAATATGTCTTATGTATTCCCTATCAAATAAAGTGTTACTGTACATTGTTAGCTTTTTCTTTGTTATGATAGGACATGGAAAACAGTGAACTATCCAGATGTTAAAGGGTTTTTTAATAGATGACTTTGCAGCATGAATGCAAGGAATATTTTTTTTCCCGCAAATGGATTACTGGCATTTGTTAGCAATGCTGGCTGCAAAATACAAGGTGCACCACTTCATCTTATTTTGTACAGAATTATACAGAGATTGGCAAACAACACAAATCAACATCTCTGACCACTGAAAACGGAGAACACTCATGAGATGGGCTCATAGTAGCGTATAAAATTTAAATGACATGAAATAATAAAGTTGTCCTCAAGTTTTTCTTTTTTTGTATAAGTTTATCAGGCATCTTCTTCTGTTTATCAGTTTTCAGCAGGCTGTACACTGTAGAGTGTCATGCATCCATCAGAAACCATCAGAAAAGAGAGAAAATTACCAATTTATTTAGGAGAGACATCGGCCAAGCAGGCTCAGACTGTGTGTTTGTTACAGTCAGAAGCAAAGTAAGCGTATGGTGAATAAATAAAATTAAAAAAAGACAATAAGGTGACGGTAAGATCTGGTCTCTCTAAAATAAAAAAATAAAATATATATATATATATATATATATATATATATATATATTTTTTTTTTTTTTTTTTTTTTTTTTTTTGCTCTATTTTTTAAAAAATATTTTTGTTGTGTTTTGTGAGCTGCTGACAAATATTCCTGCTGGGTGAAGAGTTTATTCAAAAGAAGAGCTTCTTTCACTGAGACGAAGCAAATCTAGACAACAACATCCAATTCAGCAGACATCCAGAGGTGTTTTGCTAGTTGCCGTGCTGGTGCAAAGATGAGAATTTTTTTTATGATTTTCCAGGCAAATGAATTTCCCTTTGGGGTTAATTAAATTCTTGTATTGTATTGGCTTGCATTGCGGTACCTGGCAGTGATGCTCAGTAAGTCTGTGTGTGGGAAACACTGTGTGTTTGACCTTTGATATATTTGTTCCATGTAGACAGCAGCCTGATGAGAGGAAACTCCAGAATGCATAATAATCTTTAAAGATTGCTCTTATATGTTGAATTTAAGGTCTTAGATAAGTTTCCTGAAATTCTGTAAACACAGGTACCGCAGTGTCCCCTAATGCTGTGAAAGCATTTTCCAGTCCTGTGAACAGGTTCAAAAAGAGCTCATAAAACCTCCCCACTCAGCAGAGACCCAACGTTTGACAAGGTCAGTGAGTAACCAATCCCTGACCTCGCCACAATGACTCAGCAGAACAGCAGCCAATCAGATTAAAGCTCCATCCTCCTCACCCTGACCTGGCCATGATCTAAGGAGAGGACGCTTTTGAAGGAGCACCAGAGACAACATTAAACAGCTTTGTATATTATGAGAACGCTGCTGTTTGACCTCTGAGGCCTGCTTCATGTGTGTCTCATCACTCACATACCTACACACAGACACACACATACACACACACACAGATCAGAGCTCTTATCAGTGCGGGTTTGAGCTGTTAACAACAGAAAGAGCTTGCTGACCTCTGTGGCAAAGATAGACTGTCAAAGAGAGAGTCAGGCTGCTGCTGTTCCCTTAAAGAAAAAACTTGAAGCTGTTCAATTTCATCTTCACATCTCTCTGAGATAAACCATTTTCTCATTTTTACAATTCAGCAGAGTAGTACTGGCATCAATAAAACAACGGTTTGTTTGACCTGATGGGGAAATGTGTCCAATGTTATTATCCAGTCTTGGGGGCAAAAAGGGACAGCTTATTCAGGTTGCCTTGATGTTGCAGCTTAAAGTCTACTTCTACGTGCTGGTGCACAGCTGTTGAACACTCAAAGAATTTAAAAAAGATCAATCCATCTTGCTGTAAAATATGATCTTGCAATAGAAAGGCACTCTTTCTTCCAGTCACTGAAGTGGGAGCTAAAGCCATTGGTGTCACTTTTAAGTGCTATCATGACCTTTGGTATTAATGGTCCTGACTGCTTCCAGGTCAACCCCACACCTGCAGTACATACCAAGCAGCCAGCGACACAAATGTTTAGTTGATTTGTTTTATCCTAATTTAATAACGGTACTTTGTGTAACTCTTTGATGTGTATTTAGATTTATATGACATATAGAATCTAGGGGAAGCTGTAAATTGTTAAATGATTGCAAAATCATCTAAAATAACCATTTAAAATTATTGAAATTTAATATCACAAATGTTTAGTTAATGACAGTGGGTCTAGTTTAGGGGGTCGATAACTGCTGAATATAACTAACAAAGAAGAGAAGAGGGTTTGGTGTTTTTTTAAAGAGTGTGTTACACTCTGGTTTCCCACTAGCATGTTTTTTTTTTTTTTTTTTTAAACGAAAAGGGTCTCTCTGGGATCCTTTATGATATCCGACACTTTGAAACTACAACTTAAGTCCATTAGTGAAACATTAAGACTTTAAGTAGATCTACTTTGACCGGTCTATCAGCCCTTAGCATGATACTTACAACCCATTTCACAGCTGCAGGCTTGGGAATACTGGAGCATTTTCAAAATGGCTGTAATGGAGACCCGTGTCCTGTAATCAATTTTTAGTGTTAAAGCCATAAACACCCTCTTATGTCTCATAATTATACTGCAGAGTTTTGTTTTTATTTTCTAAAACAGCCCTGGCTCTACTGGACTGCTTTAATAGGACTTTTGCTCATGATATTGTTATTTTTCTACAAGACCCAAATCTCAGATTATTTCAGCGTATTACTACTCTGGAAACATATGGCTATATGTCAGGTTATAAATTTAATACCAAGAACAGCACCGGTGTCACTACCTCATATGTTTCAGCTGTGTTCAAATTTGAGAGAGTTCTGGCTGTCTGTATTCAGATTTTTCTGCAAAATATTGGGATTATCAATAGAACCACTTGCTAAATATATATATATGTATATATATATATATATATATGAACAGGGTGGTCTGTCAAAGCAGTGCTAGTCAGGGCGCTGTCAGCTGCATGCAGACTGCTGCAGCGGTGGACAGGCATGCATGTGTTTTGCTGTAATTTGATACTAAGGTTAATTTATTGTGACTCAGAAAGACCAAAAGTTTTCCATTAACCTCTAAAGTTTTACGGTTTGTTTTGTTAGCTGGTTGATAACAATGTGACTGATGTAGATCAGCCTACCTTTGCCCAGACTTCACTCTTCTGGACAAATTGCAGGTCTGCTCCATGCTTCCATCAATGTCCTTAAGTTTTCTCTTTCTCCCTGACCTGCCTCCACTTGATGATGGGGTCAGAGTCCAAAGTTAAGGGTTGATGGTGGACTGTGACTGGTCAAAGCTGCCGCTGCTACAAGCAGGTGAAGCAGGACGGTTCTTCTGGGAGGGTTGAGGTTTGCTGGGGGGAGAAGTCTGTGAAGACCCTCCGGCATTCACACTGTTGGAGCCTGGATTGCTGTTTCTGAAGGCAGCCATGGTCTCCAAAGACGAAAGACACTGCAAGACAACAAATCATCAGTCAGACATCTTCACTGGTCATGTGACTTACAGAAAACATGACCAATACTGACACAAATCATCTGTTATATAAACCTGCGCTGGAGGAGTGAAGTATTTCCTGCAAACACTCGCAAGAAAAAGTACTAAAAGCTTAAAGTGTTTAAGAAGTTTAGTCTCGACTTACTAAGACCTGTAGGGAAACATGCTGGTGATTCGGTTGATGCTGATAAAGGAATGCTCCAGCACCTGACCGGGTGTATGTCTCTGTGCTGCATCAAGCTGAAGCATTCCCTTCAGCATGTCTAGAAAGACCCGCATGTCCCTCATCTTTAAGACTCTGTTTGCAGGAGACTCAGACTTTATACTTCGCACCTAGAGAGTGGATAAAGACAACCACAGTAAAGGGGTGTAACTGTTATCACCAGAAAACCAAGAAAAACTGAAATCATTTCTCATTTTTTAATTATTTTTTATTTTTTAATTTATGACAAAAACTGAAGTACGTACTTTCAGGAGGTCATCCAGAGAGTAAAAGAAGAAACTTCTGGTCTCCATCGACATTTTCCTTGTCTCACTGAAGTTCATCGTCTCAGTCTAAACAGAAAGTGTGTTTGTTAGCTGCTACCTCCAGGGCAAAGTTTGCTTTTTACAAGATATGTATGGGACAATTCCCAACAAGGTGCCTATGTTGAATTTTCAATCTTGTCATAGTCAAAGTAGGAGAATTACTGCCCTTTAATGGCTGTCACAAGCAAAATAACAAAAAATTAGAGCAAAATAACAAAAAATGGCCTCTGTGTGGGGAAGCCCCTCAAGAATCTCTGGAGATCTTTAAGAGGTAAAACAACCATGATAGATGCATACACAAAGACATATCACATATCAATTCTACATGTGATACAGCTGATCCTCCAACAAAACATGTGTTGACATGCAAGCCCCTATAAGCAGCTTTTATAGCAGGCATGGTTCTGGTTCCTCACCTGAATGGATGGGTCTGAATATTTGAGCCCAATCTTGTTGCAGACACATCTCCTGCCAGACCAAAGTCAATCACTTTGACTTTGTAGGGCTGATGTTCATGATCAACCAGCATCACGTTGTCCAGCTTAAGGTCTGCATGGATCATGCCGATGGTCTTCAAATGATCCAGAGCATTGGCGACCTAAGACGTCATTAGGTCATTAATTTAACAACAAAGCTCAGGATGTAACTTGAACATCAGTATTTGTTCTTGTTTAAAAGCAGAAATAAATGCAGTCGTTCATACCTGCTGGATGATCGGTCTGATCTCCCTCAGAAGGAGAGACTCCAAATATTTCTCCTTCATAAAATCATGGAGGCTTTTGTCAAAGTGCTCAAACGCCAGACAAAAATGTCCTCTGTCAGTGAAGGCTTTGTCCCATTGAAGTATGTTGGACTTGTCCGAGTCAAGCACTGACAATTTTAAGATGACAGACAGGTTTTATTTTAGATTTACACAAATTAAAGAGCAGTGATCAGATACTGTAGATAGAGACAATCTGTCTGAGTCTTAAGTTAGCACGGCTAGTTTGCTCCTCTCACCTCTGCCTTTGCTGCATGGACAAAAGTGTCCTTGTACTTGACTGTCTTGATTGCAACAGTCGTGTTGTCGCACATGTTGGTGCACTTTGCGATTGTGCTGAAGGAGCCCTGTCCAAGGATGGACTGCACCGTGTAGGTGGTGGATCTTGAAAAGATCTCTGAACCTGTGGCCAACCGGAAATCAGACATCTTACGAGAAATAAAACAAAACAAAACAAAAATAAATCCCTGGACTTTGTCCTCGAAAATGTTCAAATAAAATCGCCAAAAACTAAGTAGATTTGATGCCGTAGATTATTAAGATCCAAAAGTTTGCATTAAACCAAACTGTCTGCATGTGTCTTTGCTGTCTGTCGTTTCTGATCTCTGCTCAGGTAGGAGGGTTTAAATACATGTATGCACATTCTCTTTTTCATTATGACATCAGTTTAGAATGCGACTCACATTCTGTTTGATGACATAAGATTCTAAAGGAAGTCCAACTTTTAAACTGGCTGTTAATGTTTTCTTGAAAATAACATGTTTATCATACATACATCTTGTATTTTACTGTATCAGACGCACTTCTTACTCCAGCTTTTTTGATTTTACACTCTTTACTACTGACAAAACCAATAATGGATAAAACCATTTCATTTTTAAACTTCTAAACTAACTTTATGTCAACTAATGCTTAAAGCACTCAAAGAAACACAATTAATAGTCAAGTTAGGTGTCCATCTAACAAACATTTCCTCTTAAAGGCCTCAAATTCAGCCATTAAAGCTCCTGTGAGGGAACTTTAGTGCTGATTTTGGCAAACCTTTGACAGCATTTCTTCTCTCACTACCCTTTTTTTCCAATTTGGCAAAAACATGTCGTTAGTTCAAAGAAAAAATAGTGTAAAAATTCTGAGCTTTTTACAGACATTTGGTGTCCTATATTTAATCATGATGTGGTGAGAGTTAGAGTTGGACATATCAGCTGCTGACTGGAAATGGGTAGTAGAGCTAATACATTCTTCTTCTGTGTGTGTTCGACATGGATTGAAACAGTTTAAGGTTTAACACAGACTACATTTATCAACATTTATCAAGGCAACACCATCATCTCTTAAACGATGGGTAAAGGAGGGGGCAAAGTTAACTACATTGTGAACAACCGTGTGGGCAAAGAGTCCAAAAGTTTAAGAACCTTTCTGTGAACACTTTTTGTGTGTTAATGTAGCAGGATGAGTTTCATTTAATGCCTGTCTTTGATTGTTAGCAGAACATACCGAACACACACAGCTCACTGAGTTTAATGTAGTGATCTCACTGTAGCAGAAACAGCAGCTTTGTATACACTGTGACAGGAACACTAGGTGCCTGGCAGCCAAACTTGGTCAAAGTTGTTTGTACAGGTTGGGTCAGGATGTCATCCTGTGTGTGTGAGCTCCAGGTCTAAGTCAGGCTGGCCATAAACTCATATTTCCTTTCCTTTTGCTGCAGAGGTTTGGTGCCCAGTCCATTTCTATGCATCAAAGTGTATAAATGGCCTTAAATATAGTGTCATATTAAGGTTTTATGTTTATACCAAAATCAGAAACACACAAGCAATTTTGAGTTTAGAATCATGTATGTGACACTTTCTGACTGAAGCTGTAATGATAGGTGCAGTTTCCTGATACTATGTTGATCTTCAACTTCCACAGCTGACTCATTCTTTTTGGGTGGGTAGTGTGAATCACCACCGAGCTTCCTCATTGTCTGGCACCTCTGGATATCAGCCTGATGCCCAAAGAAGACGAATGATGTCAAGAGTAGAGAAACCTGAGCTCTTTGCCTCCCAGCCTTCTGTTAGACAAAATAACTCCATTTGACTGTATCAAAACTGCCATGATGGAGCCTGGCTGTGTGAATAACCACCTTTAATGAAGGTGATTTTTTTTCCTGTTGCCAATGCGCCTTTTAAGCAGCAGGAAAATCCTGCATTACTGACACCATAGCAGATTTTGTGGCCTCAAGATCACAATGTGCCAACAAAGAGATACGACTGACCACAGGGAAGAGAGTAGGTGCATTTTCTTTTTTTTTTTTGGTGTGCACAGGGAGGAAATACAAGGCAGGGGCCTGCAAGGACTACTGATCTGCAGAGTGTCCCAGTGAGCGCCCTCTACAGGTATGGAGCTTTTCAGTTACCATGTCTGGATGATCAGTGTCTTCTTTTGACATGTTTTTCTTTTTGCATTGTTGATGTTATTGGAGCATATCCTTAGTCTCTGCTTTTATTGTAGGGTATTTACACACTTTTTTCAAACAAGATATAATCTATTTCAGGACCTTTTCAGGATCCAAAGAAAGAAGGATTTTTTTTTTTTTTTACCATTTATGCAAAAAGATTCCTCATAAATTTGTCACTGCACTTAAAAATTATTCAAGAACCACAAAAATTACATTTTTTAGTACAAGATGAAAAAGCAACTTTCACATTGGCTCATGTAATGATATTAATCATTTGAACTAACTGTAGTGTTTGACACATTTATGCATTGACCTTTTTAAATGCAGCTGATAAAGCTGAGGTTGATTTTAAAATACCTTTTTTTTTCTTTTAATTTATGTTTAGTTTGATAGCCTGTTTAATCATCAATCATAGAGGTAGAATATCATTTTTTTTAAAACAGAAGTTGCATCATCTGTCAAGTGTCTGTTGTTTAAATAAAGTTAATTGAGAGTGTTACAAAGAGACTTACACAGTCAAACTTAAGCAGTCACTCAGTTGGCTATTTTCAATGTGTTATGTAGCTGAGTAGGCCTGTTTCAACTTAGTGTACACTCACTCTTTATTATAGCCGGAGCAAGACATGTCTCAACCTAGAGCCAGCAAATGTGACATGTCCAGGCTAAACAACACACAATGCAGTGTTAGTTACAAAAATAGACACACAACATATGCCGAGAAGTTAAAGTATATTTCTTACGCTGCCACAGACTTTGTGTGTTTCACTTGTCTGACAATAAAACCTGCAATTTGAATACAGAAATGTATCCCTAACCCCTTCATCACTTGAAGTGAGTTTAAATGTTATTCAAATTACGTTACATTTTCTGCATTGTTCCACCTGCACTTCACAGATATTCTTTATTCAGGATGTTTGGATGTGCTGGGCTCTGGGGTTGTTCGCTCTGGCTGCAGATGATGGTTACTGACTCTACACAAAGACATATTATGGTTGAAAATACTCCCATTTCAAACTTTAGAAGTAAAGTCGTAAATACAGATGAGAGAAAACTACACTGACTTCTGCTTTCAAAATTTTTAATTGTAATATACACCAAGAGCTGAATTTCTGTGAGATGGCAATTATACAAAACATGGTTATAAAAAATCATATCTAGGCTATACGAAAAGGTGTAGAATTGATGAATTTAAGACTTCTTTTAAGTGAAATTAAGGCTTTTTTAAAGACAATCTAAGACCTTTTTTTTTTTTTTTTCCTGGCTGCAAAGCAAATTTCCCTCCAGGGACGATGATGTGAAAGCTGAAGTTGAAGGGCCTATCTCGCAGGAAGTATGACTAGATTTCATTCACACGCATAATAAAGAGGCCATTGAGACAAAAGTTGTGAATATTTTTTTATTTTCTTTAAACTTGTGCATCAACTTGAAAGGGTAAACTGTGTGCACTCCATTTGTTTTCACAACAAGTTCAAAATTAGTTAAGTGTTCTTTATTAATTTTTTTAAATACATCTTTTTCCTTTTTAAAACCATTTACACACAATTGCTCAGCACTGGTTTCTAGCAGTCTATCAGTAGTCGGGGGTGTAGAAATGATAAGCATCACCAGCAGTCTTATTTCCTTTCTGTCTGTCTGTGTGTGTGTCTGTCTGTGTGTGCACTTTATTTTTACTTCAACCAGTTTTTCATCACTCTGTTCATGTGAAGTAAAAATATCTTTCTTTAAATATGATTCCTTTACATGATAAAAATAGTTTCTTCTGTTGTCCTCTCCAAAAACAACGTAATGTCACTGATGCTTACCAGGATGCTCCGCACTAAGACGAGGACTAACTGCTGTGAAACTGCTCCATGGAGGATGGGCGCACCCTGCTCTCCTGGCTTTCTCTCTCTCTCTCTGTATATTTATGTGTGTGTGTTAATGTGAGTGTAGTTTGTGTTTGTAAAGCCTCTTGAATCCCCAGCCTGGGGTCCCGCTCGTCTGCCATGGATGACACTCCTCATGGTGCGTTTTTGTGTTGATAAAAATCATTACAAAATTTTTTGATTCTCTTCGTACAAAAACACGTTTTCATAGAAATTGCATTTGCACAAGTAAATGTGGAGCTCTGCTGACAAAGAAAGAAGGAAAAGAAAAAAGCCACAGAGGTACAAAATGAAACTGGAGACCTGACGGTGAGCGAACGGAAAAAAAAAAGAAAAAAAATTGTGAGTGTGTGTGTGTGTGTGTGTGCATGTGTGTGTACATATGTGTGTTTACTCGTAAAGAGCTGAAGTGGAGTGAGGTGTTTTTACGGCAGTAGTGAGAGTCCAGTCCGTAGAGATATAAATAAAGAGTCTCATAAATAAAACAATAAATACTTTGAATAAATAGAGTTTGTGTGTCGTGTGATTGCTGTGAATTTAGACTCCTCGGTCATGTTGAGGGTATGTACCTCCGTAGATCCTCTTTAAATGACTTCATGGACATCAACAGTTCACGATATCGCCCCTACACCTGCTTAAATGTCCCCCTATTATAATAATGTGCCTCTAAAATCCCCCCTACATTAAAGACTAAAAGTGTTAGTACTCTGAAACACAAATAAATGATTTCACTTATTGCCAGATGGATGATATACAGTATATCAATTTATGATGTTGATCAGTATCATATGTGGCGAAGCGATGCCTCTCTATACATTTTGGGGGCAGCCGAGCTCGCTGTGGTCTTCGGGATTCTGGGTTAAATTTAGTCCAGAGCTGGCGCCGTCCTCCTATTCACAGCTTTTGAGAACAGACAATCCTGGACAAACTTTCCTCCCCGCTCTCCGGGTTATTTTTTATTCCCACTCGTAATCTCTGAAATGCTCTCGATGCTGCTCGACCAGCCTCTGTGTGAGCTGTGCGGTGAAAGGCTGACTGAGCAGCAGCTGGACGTGTTAGGTCCGATCTCCTGTTCCTTTTTTTTAAAGAGACAAACACGGTCCCTTTTTAAAATTTATATTCA